CCAAGTATGAAATTTATTTCTTATTAGGGCACTGACTTTATACGGATAATATTTAAATAGTACCACGGTAGATTAGGGCTAAGCGCTCGAAGTAAGTTTCGCAGTACATGAGCAACTCGTGTTCGGTATCCGGCACATAAAATTGTTAACTGCAATTTTAAGTTATGGTGTACGAAGTGCTAGGCGGTGAAGGAAAACATTGTGAGGACATGCGAACATCGCAGATACGCAATGGGTCAACGCTGCGGACATTTCTTTGCCCTAAAACCGAAAATTAAATAAATTCCACGGCATATAATACATTAATTTATGCGGAAATTACATGTAACAAAAAAGTTATTTTATGTATTATTCTTTAAATAGGTTTTTTTAGTTCAATGCAAGTTCAATGGTAAATAGTAAACAATCTATTCATTAACCAAAGGAGAATTTAAAATGACTTAAATCAATAGTGCACAACACAATAATCTAGTTTACACTTATGCTTAGTGCCTTCCGGTAGTTATTTATTTTGCCTACTATTGAAAAGTTTTTTTTATAGTATAAGGGTGACAAAAGTAAATTTTCCGTGAGAGCACTGTCCTTCCCCGGCCGAGCCGACCCATTCATGCTAAAACCATAATATAACGTGGTTCTACCACGTGACTATGTGCTGAAATATATAAATTACTGTACGAATACATTCAGAGCTTCAAAAATGTATAGATTCGATCGGCTAAGATAAAATATGTATCTAAAAATTGTGGACTGCACTTCTTGTTTCCATTTATTAAAATTAATATTTAGGAATAACTTTTTTTTTATATAGAATAGGGTGACAAACGAGCACACAGTCCACCTGATGGTAAGTGGTTGCTGCGGCCCATAGACATCTACATCTATCCTCCATTACAAATCAAAATGCAGATATGCGTTGTCACCCGTGAGGACTGAGATGGAATGCCTCGTTTCCAGTAAAAAGGGTCTCCGGTTCTCTACACTCACCATACGAAATACAGCAGCATTAAGCTACTATTTCACGCTGGTATTCTGTGAGAGCGTGGTCCATCCCCGGTCGAGCCGACCCATTCGTGCTATAACTTTACTACTAATATAACTGCAGCATGGCTCTACCACGTAAAACGCGTAAACCACGTAAACACGTACCACGTAAACACGTACGCACATTTCTATAACACTTTTTATCTATCATAATTTTATCATCATTACAGCTCATCATAATTTGGCTGCTGGACCATAGATAGATAGATTGTCACAAAGTACGGTCTCAAGCCACCAGCATGCACTGACTACCTGTATATTACGTCATAAGACTTATGAAATAAATGTTTTAATTTAAAAAAAATCAATACAAATTTTTTTAAAGACATCGATTTTAATTTAGTTTATATAGGTTAAAGTGAATGAGTGAAGGTTGTACAAACGTGAAAACGTAACTTGAGCAACTAAATCACACGAACTCCTGAGCTCCTGACCAAGTTGTAATTTGAGGCTAGTACTAGTAGACTAGTACATGAATATTGGTTCAGTTATTGAATTGAATGCTTTTAAAACCAACAGTTTTTTCTTTAATTTATTGTGAGAGTATAACAAGTGTCAAGGTTGTACGAAATCTATTTTCGTGTATAAATCATAAATATTCCATTATGTATATCTTTGTTACTTATTACAATGGATTATTGTTTATCACAAATTTAACTTTTATTCTTATTTATTACGATTGAACTAAGGATCAGCAATGTGTAAGTATATTGTAAAAAGTTCTTTATAATGCAAGCCAATATAGACATATTGGTAAGGGAATATTTCTTTATGGAAATAGTACCAGATGGTAGGAAAACGATTATTGTTATATCTTCGGAGCCCGTCCGGTTAGTTATATATAAGTAAAACAATATTAGCGACATTAGCCTTATATTAGGGTACAAACAGCGATCTCAAAAGTCGTAGATTGAAATCCGTCATTCGACTAAAGTCGTGAACCACTCCTAACACAGGGATTTTAGCTTGCCTGGGGTGGTTAACGGAATATTATAATTCGGTTGAAGAAAACCTGCCTCCTGATGTACAAAATACTAGTTCAGTAATCAGGGAATTGAAACTACCTATATTAATTCTGTGTTTAATAAAGCTTTACTTTTCATAAAATATTGTAAACAAGACCGGGATATTTATATTGTGTTCTCGTCTGATGGGCTTTCATACATATAAAAATATGAAACTATAATATACTATTATGCTTAAATATAATATTATAAGGTATATACTTAAAAGACCATATAAAATAAAATACAGTTAAATAAATAAAGAAACCTAACCAGATGGAAACCCTCGGCAGGAAAGACCCAGTAGTCAAGGGTTAGGGGAAAGGGTGGAGCAACAATTTCTGCATTTGAGCCCGGAGAGGATCTTTACAGAATCCTTATCCTCTCAGATGACCCGAGAGATGGCTACAGAAATAATTTCAGTCGGAAAACCACTCCACATACATCTCATGACTTGGGTTATATTTGGTATAGTCTTGATTTTGTCTATTTCTATTTTTATATACTTTTTTAAGCGGTTGTCGTCTAATGGAATGGTAATGTTGACCAAAAAATGTAAAAAAATATCCTAGATTTTTGCCGGTCCATCACCAAAATATCAGGTTTATTCGCAAAAATAGTCCTGTCCGTGCTGATAGCCCGGTCTCAGTAGAGCCTGGCGCGGTCTTCGTCGAGCACGGCTTCCAACAAATACTTATAATAAGTCAATTTCTGATCGACGAGACCGAAGTGAGCTTATAGTGTAAGTTGTATCTCATCAGCATATACTCGAGAGTTAGAAAGCACTGAATAACTAGAGGTGACAACATTTCCGGGGGAGACTTATCCCGGGATGGCAACAAGCTCGACGGATGTTGAAGATGTCATCCTTTAGGATATATTTCCGATTGTTAATGTGATCCTGTATCGCACATACAAAACCTTTGGTTACCCCTTAGAAGGTTACCAAAACGTAGCCAGCATAGGGAACATTTTGTGGAGCTCGCTCCCTTTACACCGGGTTTCCCTGTCGAATAAGCTTTGTATTACTCACGCGGAGTGCTCAGAGAAATTGTTCGTATCAGTTGCAGCTGGTGAATTCCACCATCGTACACTGCGGCAGAACTCGAAACTCCATGTTCATAATCTCGATGGCTGGTGATCCACTACTGTGCGATTTACGCGTAGTTTTCTGACTCGTACGACCAAACTGTGGAACATATTGTCGCCAGCGGTTTTTCCGGACCGATACGACTTAGGGACCTTCAAGAAAATAGCCTACTCCTCCGTAAATGGCCGACAACGCACCTGCAATTCCCCTGGTGTTGCGGATGTTTATGGGCGGGGTTGATCATTTACCATCATGTGAGCCGTATGTTCGTTTGCCTCCTTTTCCTTAAAAATCTGTTCTTGCCTCGTCAATAGAGGTTTTTGTTACTATTGTGTTTGTATTTAAATAAAATAAAAATACAAAGAAAAAGAAAACATGTGAGAAGCCGAGCATCTGCGTTGGAATAACTAGTTGATTAGATTGCCAAGGGTGCACTGGCTGTAGTTGGAAATTAAGTACCTACGTTGTTTCTTGGAGTTTTTCTGTGCCGTTCCATTTATGAAATTAAAGATAATTGTATGATATATATGTATAAGCCAGGCTTGTAAATTATGTCAAAAATTTGTAAATCTGATATTCATTTCGGTTCCTCATGAGTAGTAATTCGTCTATATTTTATATTAAATCGAGGATTGATGAAAATGTCTATGGGCGACAGCACTTACCATCAGCTTGCTTTGGTACTCGATTGTCGCTCTTATATCCATACCAAAGGGCATCAAATCTCTTTGTACCATATAGAGTAATCTGACTCCTTTTGATATGTTTATTTGACAACAGATAAGTTACCGTGTAGTGGTGGTGTAAGAAATATACCTTACCCCATATCGTCCTGTGGTTGTCGTCAGAGGCGACAGAAAGGAACTGAAACAGGAGATGGGTGGCAGCATCTTCCTGATGATAACTTATATTAAAAGACTGCACTTACCAACTCGCCTGCAAAGCGTGGCAACTATGGCAAAATCCCTTTTTTATCCGTGGACTTTGGATCGATCCTCATTAAAATGCCGTTCACAGTTTTGTTATTGGTCCAATCTTGGTTTGATAAAATATTAATAAGTAAAAAATATGTGTGTGCATTCATACTATTTGTAACAGTACAAGTTTTGCTCGAATCCCATTCATTAATGTAATAAATCAGACCGAGATCGGACCGAGAACGAAATGTGAACGGCAAATGAGGATCGGCCCCAGACAGCAATGAATGCAAAGGAGCTGTGATCATATAAAACTCTGAGAACCATGTATTTTGGAACTCTAGAAACTAAATAGCCCGTAATATAATTACATCCGTGTAACCGAATATAATCTTAAAAAATTGCCGTGGGCGTGTTTTGTTTTTGTCAAATAGCAATACTTTTGTTTACAATTGAACAAATAATATAATGGCAAGTAAAAGTTATAAGATTCATCACATTACCTGTTCTGTCTATAGTTGTTTTTAATATAGGAATTTATTTTACATGCATTGAAGATTGATCAAATTCTTATCAAAACATATACAAAAATATCACTTAATCTGTAACACATGGATAGCCGCCCCGACGGTGGCGTTTACTGCAAATTACTGTGGAATAAAAACAGGTGGGATGTAAAATATTGTTCATTATAGCGCGTGCAAAGCGTTGTTTACGCGTGTGTAAAGTATTCTTGTTGGAAAATTGAGTTATTCATAAATTAATATCACTAAATCTTGCCTCCATTCAGTTGGATAACAAAAGTCTAAACGGTTTTTTATTAATTGAAAAAAAAAATGCAAGAATTCTTTCATTTGTTAACATTTTAAGTAGAGTTTGGTACTGTTGTCTTAAAACCGATAAAGCGTAGAATGTGCACTTATTTTATATATCCATAAATGATTTCAGATTCAGAAGTCTCTTATCGACCAAGTTGCTGGCATATTATTAAGTAACTCTTAACTGGTTCTAGCGCGAGTAATTTTAGAGGTGTTTACTCCAAGCTGTTAAGAATAACAAGGTTTAATAAATAAATTAATTAGTGTGACAGTGAGCGATTTGTGCCTAGTGACTCCTTAAAGAGGCCATCATCGTGCGTACTCCGGTTAAACCGGAGTTTTGCGAAGTAAACAAAATCACCAAAGTGTCTCCGATAGGGTTGTCAGCGATGGACAGCAACTCGGTATCACCGATGCCGGAGTTGGCGCCGATTGCGGAATTTGACAAGTCGCCTCCCTCGCCGCCTAACGAAGAGGTGCCGATGGATGATTTGCCGCCCCCGCCTGCAACAATAACGCAATCGGAAGGGAAGAAACTAAAAGTGTGAGTATTCATAAATTTTCGCTTAAAGATTTTGTAGCAAATTGTCATTGACTTATATATTACTAGCGTAAAATTAAATATTTTTATACGCATATTTTAATATAAATAGAAATAAACAAAATAATATATCCAATAAAATCTGAGAAAGAAACTATTTGGGTAAGAAAGTACCTATTGCAATTGTTGTGAATCTCCAATAATTATAGCTAATCTATTTCATAATTCCAAATTCGCAATATTAATTGAAAGCAGGTTGGTGTGTGTTTATTGTAGTTTGTAATAAAGTCTGTAATAAAACAAGTCTGATACTAAAATATATATACGTCTGACGGCAGGAATTCGTTATACTATTATTTGTTTTTATTATACTTTTTTTTATAGAATTAGGATGACAAACGAGCACACAGTCCATCCGATGGTAAGTGGATGCTGTGGCCAATAGACCACAAAATTTTCAATTAAAAATCAAAATGCAGATGCGTTATCACCCGTGAGGACTAAGATAGAATGCCTCGTTTCTAATAAAAAGGGTCTGGGGTTCTCTACACTCATCATGGGAAACACAACTTTTACTTTGGTATTCTGTGAGAGCATTGTCCTACCCTGGTCGAGTCGACCCATTCATGCTGCAGCCATAATATAGCTGCAGCGTGGCTCTACCACGTAATAGATATTTATATTGATCGTTAGGGAATTAAAACATTCTATTCACTACAATCATCTTTACAGCGAGGTATTTTATTAAAGGAGTCTCCGTACTAAAATATTATCTGTAGCTTTCGTTTTGATGTTTGGACTTAATTATTATAATTTATAACAAACAATTTTCTTGATCATATTCTCGAAATAATTATATCATAAGTACATATTAAATATTGCGTAAGTATAAGATTATTTTTGGTTTTTCAGCACATTTTTACGGTTAAACTTCAGATAATAAATTCTACTTTGGTATTTAACTCGGTTGCACAGTGACTAAAAGTTTGGTTACGTTGTTGCTGGTCAGCGACTTTAAATCCCGCGAGGCCCTACAAATAATTGTCTAGGATCTCTGCGTGTCTCAGGAAGTCTGCGTGCAATCAATGATACGGGATGGTATGATGGTAGGCCCAGTTTTGCGTTTTATTTTATAAAAATATGATAAAAATATTATTCCTTGTGCTGCCCCCTATCAGTCACAGTTGTCACTAACTTGTACTAATAACTGCAACTTCTGTTAGTGCTTTACAGTACATGCGTTTGTTGATAGATGGCGTTAAATACTTAACTCTTGAGCATCGTTTTTCACAACTTTACATAAGGCTTGCAATTGACCACACAATTTTATGATAATTTTATGTAAGTTACTGTTTTCGAAACGATTAATGTCATAATTTCAGTTAGTGAAATTAATGTTATACGATTTCTTTACCTCACTCTATCTGATTGATTTATTAGTAAATGGTCTCTGTCTGGCCTATACTATTAGTAAGGTCGAAGTAGGGCGCACACATACCGCCTTCGGATCGAGTCGAGATCTCGGAGAGTGGTGATACGAACGTCGCGTTAAACATGCTCATGTTGTGACCGATTGCCGCCAAATTTATATTCGAACTTTTACGACAAGTCTGTGTTGTGTGTTTTGTTTGTGTTAACGTTTTGTCTCCACTAATTCTGCAAGAATGGCACGAGGAAAGAACCAGACGTATGTTAATTCTTTTTTTATATTATTATAATGCTGATAATTATTACAATGTATAAAATAATGTATTGTTGTAATTCTGACATAAATTGTTACCTGCATTATTTGACTAAAAATTTACAAACAAGTTAATAATTAAAATATTAAATATACATATAACTAGTTACACACTTGGCGCTAATTATTCGACGCTATTTTATACTAATTTATTTTCACTATTTTTATGTTATTAAATTGTTATATAAAGAAAAATATCTTTACTCTATGCATGAACGTATTATTCTATATTATTATGGACTATAGGAATATATACTCAATAAGATGGCGCTTTTTAAGTGGCTAGTTAGGCGGAGAGCTAAGAAGGTAGCAAACACAGAAATTGTAATTGTCTTATTAATATTGTTTCTGTGGTAGCAATTGACTTCATCACAGTTTCTACTCATGAATAGGGAAACAAAAATTTGTGTAAGTATTATCGAGAAGTATATAAAAATATTCTATCCAATTTTACATTTAAACCTAAGTTATATTTTTTAATTAAGTATACTGATATTACATATTTTTAATAGATTTTGACGACTAGCAATATTTAGGAAACACTATAAAAATAATGAAATTTTAGAAGTACTTTTTGCGTAATCTCATTTTAATTTTAGAAACTCTTTCATGGTGAAAGCTCGTTATTAAAAAGTAGAGTAGAAAGAGAGCTTAAATATTCAATATATGTAACTCAAGATGTAAACTCAGTTACTTTGAAACAATATAATTGTAAATAATAAAAAATGCAATCATTTCTTATTTTAGTAAGGCATCTCATAAAACAATTCCCCATGTAGTGATCCACTACCCTATAAACCGATCTCATAATAAAAAAACTGCGTTTATCAACTCTCCTACCAAGCGTGACAAAGCAACTATAGAAATATATATAAGGAACTATAGAAAAATATCTCCCCTATGGGGGAACGCTATGTTCAACATTTGACTTTTGATGGGGTGCAAATAAAATAAAACGTATGCTTAGTGCTAGTCGCGCACATGCATTGTGCCGCATATCTAAGTTATTACTGAATGTTTGATAGTGTGACATACATTACTTTACATATCAAACCAATTTTCGAGACGACGTTGCGCCGTTAGATCAATTTCTTGTCTAAAAATAGCTAACGTTTAGTTTTTAATTAATACAAATTAAAAGAGACAAAAGTGTGCGAAATAAACTTAATTCATTTTATATGTATATACCTTTATGATTATAAAATTAACCACCAATTATAATGAATAATCAAATACTTAGTTGCAGTAACTTTTTTTCGAATAATTGTGATATAGGGGAGGGTTGAAGCAATATGCTCATTGGCAACCCGCATATTTGCAAGTCTATTCGACCTCCAATTGTGTTATATTTTATTAAAGCGGGAGCGGGAGCTCCGGAAATGGGATGAAATTGATTCCATTTATTATTACACGTCAGATGAGACCGCGAGATAATGGACGGAGCGGGGTCTCTACATTCCCCCCATATGATTGACGTTACATTGAACATTGCACTAATGCGCACTTTTCATTTTCTTCTTGAATATAACTATAGATTTTATTAAAATCTTTGGTGGATATTGTAAAAACATACTTGACAGTAAAAAATATTTTATACAATCTGTTGAACTGTACCCTTTTAGTTATAACTTACAACCAAGTTGTCAGAGGGACCACCCAAATGCATATTTTATTCTTTATTGGGCCAATTTGCTACAACATCCACACTTACTGTCAGGTGGACTGCGTGCTCCTTTGTCACCTTTATTTTTATGAACAAACAACACAAACAGGCAACGAGGTGTATCTAACTTTCTATTTTGATTTGGCGAGACTTTGTAATGTGATGTCGCGATCATCAAACCGCTTACCACCTTGCTGGTGGACAGGACAAAGTGACGGCCCCGTGGTGCTGTGGCTTAGCAATAAGTTGCAGCGCTGGGGGCCGCGGGTTCGAAGCCCACACGCAACAAGTATTTGTATGACATATAAATAATTGTTAAGGGTCTGGATGTTTGTTCTTGTGCAACTTACGTTTGTTGTGTTTGTTTTTTTTTTACACTAGGATTTTCTATCGTAGAGGCAGGAACCCACATACGGGAAAAAATCCTCTTACTCAACCTCTACCTCTACTTCTATACTCAACTCTAAGAAAAATCTATGATCAGCAATATACTGTCATTGAATTACATAGGTAACTGCCTCTACGATACGAAAAAAAATCCTCTTACTCAACCTCTACCTCTACTTCTATACTCAACTCTAAGAAAAATCTATGATCAGCAATATACTGTCATTGAATTACATAAACAGAAATCAAATGTGTTTTTTTCTTAGACGGTGCGAATTTACATTAAAATAGATAGGTTACCTTGTTTCTTTCGAACTCTCTAAATAGCGTATTTATGGCAGTGAAGTTTATGCGGCCGTAGTCCGAGAAAAGCGATTTTAAAAAACGTGATCAGACCCAGTTGCGAAACGAGAGCACCCGTGCGGTCGCCGCCGAGTCAAACCAGTGATGCACTTGATTGATCCACTATATTCTAATTTAAATATTTGTCATATAGACTTAAAACAAACTTTGTATAAAATATTGATAAGGTCTATCGATATTTTTTTTACATTTATGATCGAAGAATATTAATCGAAATCTTACATAAAGTGTATAAAAATATCGTACATTTTGGATGTAAATATACGTGGTAGAGCTACGCTACAGCTATGTTATGGCTGTAGCATGAATTAGTCGGTTCGACTTGTGTAGCACAGAACACCATCTGAATTTCACGCCTCATTTCCTCTGTCAGAGATCAAAGCCACATGTTTGGAGATTAAAAAATGGTGTATATTTGATTTTCTAAATATCAAACCAAAGTACGTATATAATATGTGTTCCTCTTCTAATCGTACGTGGGTACGGTAGTGCCTAGTAAATCGATTTAGTTTTTTTTAAAATAAAATTGCAATAATAACACTACAGTTATAATTATTTCCTGACTATTATAGGTAAGATTGTACGTAAATTTGACATTTAGTCTTGAGTGAATGTCAACTTTAATGTATCCTTTACTTTACGTTTTAGGAAATGTCATATTTTCCATTACATTTAAATAAAAGTATCTAAACAAACAGCGTTTATTTGTAAAGATCTTTAACGTAATCTCTGTCCTTGGTACGTTACTGTTGTCTAATTGGGTAGTTATCTTTGCTTTATTGTGTAGTCTGAAAATTTTATCGAAACAGTCGTACAATAAATTACATTTTTACTAATACCAAAATATAA